AGAGATTCAACTGAGAATGTGCTTGATGCCAGAGTAAAATCCTGTTCTCACTAGTTTGGCTCCTCTTTCATTCTCCTACCGCATCTCAACATGTCCAATCAGGTCAGAACCTACACAACTTTTTAACCCAACAGCACACCATTTGCCTTCTCTTAACATTCCTCACATTAATTCTGTCTTGATTCTAGCACAGGTCTTAATTTATGAAAGCACACACTTCCTCCAAACTCATTGGATACAATGTCTAAAGATCTTCTTTATCTGGATCACTAGGAGCATCTTTCTGAAAAGAAAACTGCCACTGGCATGATCTATAGTGCATATCCACCTATGGTTTCATGTGTACTTTCAGTGTCAGGGTTGCAATTGAAGATTTGACACCTGTGGTGACTAATATTCATCGCCAATTAGTCACACATATGAATAAGAATTGAAGAATTGTTTCCATAAGATTGACCGGTGCACATATTTGCAAGTCATATAGAACATTTTCTTGATTGCTATTTTATGTAGGTGATCCAGTTCACTACAAGCAACACCAGTATCAGGCATTTAGTCTCATAATGAACCTGAAAGGTAGCTGACATGAGACTGAATTCAAGTCACTAAGCAGTGTTACCGCATGGTTTGCTTTAGGTCATTGCTCGTGTTTCTTGCTTTTTATTTTTAGTTGGTTTCCATTAAGTGCAGACTGTAACATGGACTTGTAAGTTGAAATAACTCATACTTTCTCAAGTTGATTTAGACTATAACATCTATCACAGCAAAAGAATACAACCTGCAATTGCACTCAACTCATCTTCTGCTGATTTCCATTCTCATTTATACATCCATCTTGAGTCTACCACTATGATCCAGTAGGTGCTAAGGAGGACATATATAGGCGGCATTGCATGTTAAACATTATTATTCACAGAAATCAAATTTCTCCCATTTACTCTGTTTTTGCTGGTCACTGAGCCCTCTTATTGAAATCCTCACTTTCAGGAACATTCTATGCTTCATTTATCTGAATCACATGCACTCATCTGGAGGGAGTCACTTCAGAAGGAATTTTCCCCAGAAAGTCTTCCCCTATTTGTCTATTTGCCTCACATGTCATTTGGCTGCATGTGGGCAAGTACCTGGCTTGATTGTTAGTGTGATCTTTGAGCATATGGAGATGACCCTGACACTAGCATCTTTACATTATGGTTTCCTAGCTCTATTAAGAAAGCAGGGATGGAAGTTTGAGGTAGGGGATCTAATCAAAGGCAGGTAATGGGATCCTGAGATACCTGTGGCAGGTTCTGGCTGCAGAGATGCGGATGGAGAAGGTAGGGTAGTGGTGGCTGGCTCAGGAGCTGTGGAAAGGATTGTGATTGATGAAATTCTCATTTCCAAGAACATTTCATGCTTCATTTATCTGGATTGTTCTTATTCATCCTAGAGATTCATGTCAGGAGGAATTTTCCTCAGAAAACCTTTCCTTTCTAAATACAACAGGCTGTCCATAGTTAGAGAAACTTTCCTAGCTATGATTAGAGGCAGAACAACCATTCCCAGAGGAACCATGAACTAAACTGAAGAGTGACTGTGTGTGGAGAAGTGAATTATACTATGACTAGAATTAACTCAAGATATTGAGATAAGAAATCAGCATAAAGGATGAGCAAAGAACACAGATGAATTAGGAAAACAGAGGGAGTCACGACTATATGAACAAGGGGGCATCAAGATCATGATGGGGAAATCCATAAAGATTGCTGACCTGAGCTCATGTGAAGTCACAGACTTCAGACCCTTAGTGGGGAACCTGCATGGGAACTGAACTAGGACCATTACAAGCAGGTGTGACAGCTGTGTAGCTTTGTGTGTTTGAGAGGCTTCTGGTAGGGGAACCAGGATCTCTCTTGAGGGCATGAACTGGCTTTTTGGAGACTATTTCTTATGGTGGGATGTTTTGCTCAGTCTTGATGATAGTGGAAGGGCCTTGGTCCCTCAACTTAATGTGCTAGGCTTTGTTGACTCTCCATGGGAGACCTTACCTTTTTAGAGGAGTGGATGGGGGATGGATTAGGAGGGACATGGCAGGAGCAGGAGGAATGGAGGGAGGGGGAACTGTGGTTACAATGTAAAATGAATAAAAAATTTAATTAAAAATTTTCAAAAATATCTAAAGGATAAATGGATGGATAGTCAGAAGAATATATAAAAGGAGGGCCAAAATATTCCATAATTCAAAAGGATATCAAATCAAAGATATCTTTTAGAGATACAAAAAAGGAGAGAAGAAAGGACAACAAAGTGAATGAACTTGAGATGTAAAAAAGTATGAGAGTGTGTTTATGTGTGTGTGTCTTGATTGATGACTGGGCAGATTATACCATAATTATATGGAAGAGTAGATGAGTATTGAATAGATGGGTAGGTGGATGGATGAATAGGTGATGTGGGATTTCCCTGTATGCTGTGAACACCATTGGTTAATAAAGAAACTATCTTGCGCCTGTGCAAGGAATATATGTAGGCCAGAAAAACTAAACTGAATGCTGGGAGAAAGAAGGATGGAGTCAGAAGAAGCCATGTAGCCCCACCAAAGACAGACGCTGGAACTATAGCTGGTAAGTTGCAGCCACGTGGCAATATATAGATTAATAGAAGTGGGTTAAATTAATATGTAAGAGTTAGCCAATAAGAAGCTAAAATTAATGGGCCAAGCAGTGATTTGAATAATATAGTTTCTGTGTGATCATTTCAGGGCTGAGTAGCCAGGAACCAACAAGTGGCCTCCATCAACATGTAGATAGGTACTGCATGCATGGATTCATGAGTGGATTGGTATGTGAATTCACTGAAAGCCAAATGGAGAACACAGCTGTGTAAACAGCTAAATGGACAGAAATATACATAGGTAGCAGCTGACAGAAGAGTGGGTGATCACACAGGTTGTTAGTACATGGATATATGGGCAGGGATGTGGCTAATAGAAGGCAAGGTGAACGTGTGTATGAATGTATGAAGAAAAAAGAAGAAATAAAGCATAAAATAGAAACTGGGGGTTAGTATAGGCTTATCAAAGAATGTGAATGAGTGAATGAGCACAATCATGCATAAAGGAAGGAGAGAGAAGAAACAAAGGAAATCTAGATGAATAGGTAGGAGGATGGATGGATGGATGAATAGATGAATTGATGTAAACATGATATGAGTTGAGGAATAGTTGGAAAATGGAAGAATGGGAGCTGGAAAGATAATGGATAAATAGGCCACTGAACACCCAAAACTCTACTCCAAAGGATTAAACAACTTTTAAATAAGTCCTTGCACCCTGATGTAGTTGAGGAGAAAATGGGGATACACTTGAACTTATTGGCACAAGAAAGGATTTGAGAGACAGAACCTGGAGAGCAACGTCTTAAAGACTAACAATGAATACACATTTGATTCACATGTCCAAGTGAATCAAAAGCTTCTCTAGAGAAAAAGATAGCACTGAGCAAAGTGGCTTCCTAAAGAATGGCAAAAATCTTTATCAGCTAAATATCTGACAGAGGGTTAGTGTCAAGAATATAAAAATAAATCAAAAAATTAACCACCAAGGAAACAACCCAATAAAAATTGTGGCATGGCTGTGATAATTCTCAGAAAATTAAATACAAACTGTAGAGAAACATTTTTGAAAACATGTTCAACATACGTATGTATCAGGGAAATAAAATTTAAACTTCTATAATATTTCATCTTACGCTTATTAGAATGGCTAAAATAAAAAATAAACAGCAAAAAATGAAACAAATAACAAATGCTGGCATGGATGCAGAGAAACAGGAACAATTACTCGCTTCTCATGGGGGCATGATCACTACAGAAATAAGTGTGGAGGTTCTTAAGTTGCTGGAAATGGATCTACTATAAGATCCAGTGTTACCACTCTTGGGCATATATACTAAGAAGTCTACATGCTACTATCGAGAAACATGCAAGTCCATGTTTATTGCTGCTCTATTCAAATTTGTCACAGTCTCTGTAAGTTCATCTGTTGTATCTGGAAGATACTATATCCTTGGAGTCTTCTACAATGTACAATGTGCAAAAGCTGTACAAGTTCAAATCAGAAAAAACACAGCACTGAGAAAGGGAAGTGAACACAAAGTTCTACTCCTAGTCAAGAAGCTATTTGCAATGTACACTTGCTAGGAAAGGAAAAATTAATTTTCCCTTACGGAGTGTCACTGGGTGTATCAAACACACACAAGGCAGGACTCATGCACAAAAATAGTTGGAGAACAGAAAATGGACACCTTAGTTTCTTCAGTTATTAATTTGGTATGAGATTTAGGAAGCTTCTAAACTATTAGAGTTCTGTCTGAGATTTTGTTTTATTTTCTTTCATTTTGAAATTTTGTATTCTTGTATGTGTGTTTGAATTTTTACTTTTGTCTTTTGGGGACTTGGGGGAGAGAGAGAAAAACAAAGAGAGGGAAGAAAGGGGAAGAGCATGAAGTTGTGCAAGTAGGGAAGTGGGAAGGACCTGAAAGGACTCTGGGAAGAGAAAAACATGATTAAAATAAATCACGTAAAAATTAAATAAAAATGGTATAGCTAAGAAATGAGAAGGCAAAGGGATGGAGCTGAATACAATCATTTGGGTGAAGTAACCTGGAGCAAGAGAGAAGTCATACCTTTTTTATTATTTGTAGATGTTGACTTTGAATCTTTAGATTTGTGTGTTTCATTTGATAGGATATGGTGATTTAAAAATGGTTGATAGGAAATAACAGAATGTGAAGGGTAAAATAGAGAAGAAATTAGGATGACCATGTAGAGAGGGAATTCAGGGAGGGATAATTAGTACCGAGAGCATTCCAAAGAGTCAGACAGAACTCTAATAGCATAGAAGCTTCCTAAAGTATATGTATGCACACATATAAGGAGTCTAAATGGAGCTGCTATATAATGGGGCAGCAATGCCTCACTAGACACCACTGGATGACAAATAAAAGTCCAGCACTAGGAACAGATTATTCCTTTTGGAGCTATTGACAAGTGATATACCAGTGATTTACAAACAGTACTGGCTGTTGCCATTGCAATTGGTTACCCTCCAGAACTTTTTGATTAGATTTGTATTACTGAAGATACTGGGTACTTGAGCCATAGCACATGGACAGATGAACTGGCACTCAGCTGGAAGTTTCTTCCCTTTTGGCTGACTTTCAGAGTGCTGGAAGGTGCTATGCATGCTACTGGAGGAGGAAAGCTATCACCAATCCTGTTCAACTGCTAACGCTTTGAATTACAACGATGACTGGTCTGGTAACATATGCTCATTGATGCAATAGCAACACAAATTCCTGGTATAATAGTTAAAGAGAACTAATATAAATTGGAAAAGATACAAGAGAGAAGGCAATTTTAGAAATACACCTAATTAGTCATCTGAGTTTGTAGACTGATAACGATAATGTCCCCTGGTTGGAACTTCCTTGTAGGAAACACACATTACACAGTAACTCCCTCAACTAAAGTCCATTAATTCTGAATGGTACAATTTGAGAAATATTTTTATCCAATGCTGCAGGAGCTCCTTCTGCTCCTTTAGCCAATAACTACTGAGATTCCAGCCCACTAGGGTGTGGTCTCTTTCTCTTTAAAAAGCAGCTGCAGCCCTTCACTTGTTCTCTTGCTCCAGTGACCAGACTCCTTTCCTGACTGTCGTCTAGGACAGTGTTCTGTACGTTTTTCGCCTCAAATAAATAACTCTTTGAATCTAAACTGGTGTGGGATTGTTTTGTGCATTAATCCAACCAAGAAGAATATGGAAAATTCAGAAACCCAACTTCAGAGCTGCAGTTTCAAGAAGAGACCAATTGCTTCCATTGAGACCTCGGTCTCTCTGAACAGCCTGGTTTGTGTTTGGATCAGCTTTCCTTTGGAAATGAGGAGAAAAGTGTGGACCAAGATGTAGGTTGGGCTAAATCGATACATACTTGTAGGAGGTTCTTCTGGACCAGGTTTATTATAACCTAGAAAATACAAGACATGTTAGAGGAGGGAAGAGCAAGGGAAAGGATTCTGCATGCTTTGCCTGTATGGTACCAAACCATACCTAAAAAGATTAGTGAACATCTATTCATGTTATAAGATCTGACAAATCATAATGGAGAAGGATTTCTGGGTATTTCAACTATACCCATCTCTATGTCCCCAATAGGTCTTCTAAAACATATTTCACAGCTTACTTCCACAACAATATGCCTCAATACACACCATTATTTCTTTATTCTGCCACTAGATAACCATCCAGAATATCTTTATTGACCATTTACTATGAGTTGTATTCCATTTTCATTTGAAGTATATTACATGAATAGACAATGATTAAAAAAATACAATGTGTGTGTTCCCACTACAGCTCACATTAAGAAACAATACAGATGAGAGTTATTTCTTCTTTGCATCATGAATAAAGTATGGTTTATAGTAAATGCTTATTGGAAATGAAAACAGGGTGAAAATCATATACAAATCCTTGCAATGGTTTAATGATTGGATATAAAATGCAGAATGACAAAATTTCAATCAGTCAAAACACAGTGTAGGAAAGGCACATGCCTTTTCAGTTCTGTGCTTTGTTTGCTTTCTTTGTTAAATTCAGATACATTATATCTCCTTGCCCATGTCATAGGGTATTATTGTTAAAATGGCTTGACAATTGACAAGACATAAACTCATTGAATTGACAAGTCTCTGAACATTTCTGCAAGAAATTCTCTATATCCAGTTACCTAGGGTGGACAAACCAAGTGTAAATAAATGTGGGTATCATAAACTTTGGGATGCATTTTTGGAAGTGGAAACAACAAGGACTAGAGAAGAAGCTCAGCAAACACACTCATTTCCTTCTGCTTCTTGACTTTGTACACAATATGGCCATAAACCAATACCTCCTTGTTCAACTATTTGTATGTGCTCCATGAATTCTGGAAAAGAGGTGCTATGAACTTAAAATAAACTGGTCTAGACAGCGTTATCAATATAATTGATAGAGGTAGAAAAAATAACAGATGGCTAGGAACATTACACAGCAGCCACATATCATGCTCACCATTCACATGTAAACTTCCTTTGTCCAGTGTATAGTTGCCCAGCTGGGTTATTCCATGGGTAAGATTGCTCAGCTCTGAGTAAAATCCATGGGTGTCCAACATAGGATGTGCAAGGTCATGCAAGTATGTGCAGATGACTTCTACACCAGTGGCAGTTCCATTCTTCTCAGGCCTAGATCAAGAGGAGCAGAGACATTAGAAAGTTGTAATGTAGACAGGAATAAGAAGGAGGGCAAGCAATAAGAGAGACAACAGTAATAGTTTTTTGGCAAGTGCACACCTGAGAGAATCCAGTCTGCAACTTGAGTTGAAAGAACCATTATGGAGCAATGGTTCCATCTGGGGAGAAAAACAAAGAAAATAATGAAAATAAAATTTGGATACAGTTGGTAGATGTGATTTATACAAGCAGAAGCTACTGGAATGAGGGTCTCACCAGATTCTTTAGGAAGATCTCAGTGGAGTTGAACACAGCTGAGCCATTGTTCATATTTGCTGAATATGGGAGGTTGGAGATAGTGAAGCTGACTGAGACAGTTTTCAAGTGGTGCCCCACAGCTGGAAGAGATGAGAAGAGATTTTACCCGTGAGCACACTGGAATACAATACTCATCAAGTCATATCTCCTTTTGCTTCTCATCTACCAACATACCCAGCCTACCTACAACCTGAATATCTCATTTCTATGACACATCCCACTAACCTTTCTGAATGTTCCTAACATACTTTGTGTGTACTTTCTTATCAAAACAGTATCTTCTCTTATTTACATGATCACTCTATCAGACTCACAGGATATACTGTGAATATCTAAGGGAATTTTTCTACACTGATCTTTAGAGGAGTATTCTGAAAAGAAAGTCTCACCGGGACTGTCCTGTTACTTCTACAACTCATAGATCTTTGAGCAGTTTCAGTGTTCAGTTTGAGTGTTTTGATTTGTCTTTCAAGGCCCTTCCCAATCTGGTTTCTAATGACCAGATTTGGTTATCATAAATCTGGACCTATCATCCTGTCTTTACTGGCTCTGGATTAGAAATGCAAAGGCTTTATTGGGAGATGAACTTTATGCTCCATAGATGCCAAATTCCTTGCATTTATCCCAGTGTTCTGTGTTTTTCTAGGTCAAACAGCCCTTGTTGTTGATATCATTTAAGTTATGTAGACCACTCCTAGTCAGTATGAGAGATTCAAATCAGGATGAACTGTCTTTAGACAGTCCTTTACTCTTCATATCATGTGAGATGCATGCCCAAGCCAAATTCCTCACTGCAGTGCAGTTGTCTGTATACCTTGCAATCCCAGTGGTTGTGTGAGGCTTGGCAATTGATTGAATTGCTACTATAGTCTTTGTGTCTGATGATGGCTATGGAACTAGGTTCTTCATATCCTTCCATTTAGATCTTATATACAAATCAGAACTGTGGGACAAAGATCTTATAAAAATAGAAACAGGTTCTCTGATACCTGTGGTGGTTTCTGTTTGCACAGGTATTGTTGGAGAAGGTGGCATGGTAGTGGCTGATTTAGGATCTGTGGAAAGGGATGAGAAAATCCCCACGTATTTAGAGAAGCCCATGCAGCAGTAGTTCAAGGCAGAGCAACCATTGTATGTAGATAACACTCAAAAGGGATCAAAAGAACAAATGGATGATAATGTTGAAAAAGCCTGTGAAAAAAATTCTCAGATAGTGAGAGTGGTTGGCCAGAGAAAGGTGGGCAGTAATTGAACTGTTAAATAGTTAAGTAGAAAGAAGAAAGGATAGTTAAAGGGTCAACCCAAAATTTAATAATAATAATAAATATTTGGAGAAATAAAAGGAAGGAAAGAGGGAACAGATAACATGTAAGTAAAAAGGCATGATGAATAGTGGGAAAGTTCACAAACTGACAGATTTGTGTTAGGGTAAGTGTATGTATGTGCTGGGGTAAGTATATTCATGGGGCTGGAGAGATGGCTCACTGGTTAAGAGCACTGCCTGCTCTTCCAAAGGTCCTGAGTTCAATTCCCAGCAACCACATGGTGGTTCACAACCATCTAATCTGGTGCCCCACTAAGGAAGAGACCTAGTCAGTTATTCTCATTAACTTAGATCACGAAACCCAATATGAACAAGTTCAATAGAACTGTCATGTGCAGGAATGCCCATGCAAGTTTCAGCATTGCCAGGGCATAAATTTCATTCATTTTCATTCATTCATCCAAGTATATGCATGAGTAGGTAGCTGAATAGGTGGATGGATATTGGTTGATGGGCAGGATGGTAAATGGGTGGATGGATGGGTTGATAACTGGATGAATGAATGATGGATGGATGGATGGATGGATGGATGGATGAGTGAAGAGGTGATGAATGGATGGATTCATGTACATATGGGTATACAGATGTACAAACAAAAGAAAGAGAAAAGGAATGGATCATAAGTACACATACAGATGAGAAAATGTAAATAGGTAGTTAAATGAATTGACAGATATCTAGGTACTGAATACGTGGGTGGGTGGTTGTACGGTGGGTGGGTAAATGTGTGGATAGGTACGCAGGGGGATAATGGATGGATGACTGTGTAGAAGTGTGTGGTGTATGTGTGTGTATATGTGTGTGTAAGATGTAAAAGAGGTAAAAATAAAAGTTAGCAAATAGAGAGAAATATGATTGCATGGATAAATAGTGGATGGACGAAAGTCTAGAAGGATAATTAGAGAAGGAATGATATAAAAGAAATGAAGAAATATAGTATAATGGGAAAGAGAATGTTGGATGGATGGGTGGGTGAATGGATGGATAGATGACTGAAAATGTAGTTCTGGATGAACAGTAACTAGCAAATGAGAGAATGGACAGATAGAAAGGTATATGAGTGCAATACTGAATGAGTGGACTATTTTATAAAACACTTTAGTAGACATCAAAATGTGTTACTTAGCTCTACGACATCCTCAGTAGCATTTGTTTTAGGTAACATAAACTAGTCTCTGAATTAATTCAGCTTAATAACACCATATGAAATAATTGTTCAATTTTTTTCTTCTGACTTAGAGGATCGAGGAAAATTCAGAAATTCAGCACCAGGGCTTCAGGCCCAAAAAGAGACCACTAACTCTCTTTCCACTGAGTCTCTGGCCCCTTTTCAGAGACTAGCTTGTGTTTAGGACAAGCTTCCTTTAGAAATAAGGAGAAAAGCATGGACCAAGACCTAGGTCAGGCTAAACTGATACGTACTTGTTGTTGATTCTTCTGTACCAGTTCCACTGTAACCTGGAAAAGCAAAAAAAAAAAAAAAAATGGAAGGAGAATGTGTTGCACATCCTTAGCACCATGCATTGGTTCATGTTGTACAATATAGATGTGTATCACTTTATACACTAATTGAGCATCTGTTGAAATTCTACGAGCTGACTTGATTGGCATTAGGAAGAATGTCTTGGTGTTTCAACTCATCTAACTCTTCCCTACTTAATCCCAAATATGCTCCCCTAAATTATGTCTTTATGCCTTACTTCTTGTATCACTCAACATATGTACATTCATCAACTTATACCATTATACTTTCCTCTCTCTCTCTACATTTTTTTTTTTTTTTTTTTTATATACACACACATACATACATACACACACACACCCATTCATCCCACACATATTTATTGGGAAGGTATCACGTGTGGTACTGCATTTCTGCTTGAAGAATGTAGAACTGAACTAAAAACTCCATGCTCCACTGGGACAAAGTATGCATGTAATTTACTTGTTCTTAGTGTCAACCATGTCTGTATTATAATGAATATTTGAAAAATATTCTAAGTGAAAAATGCAATGATTAATTTAAATTGTGTAAATTATAAGAGAAAAGATCTTATACAAGTCCTTGCAACAGCCAAGTTAAAGGACTAGGTTTAAATTGAAACTTTAGAATTCATATCCAGACAAATTTATGTTACAGTGGGCAAATCAATTTACCTACATGTGCTTTAGTTTCTCTCTGTCCTAAAATGAGGATAACTTGTATGAACATCAATCATGGTAATTAGTGGTGAATACTGATTGTGAACTGGCAAGAGTGAATAGCTGTGAATTGAATGAATGACTAGATGATGAGTGGATGGATACATGGACATACGGCTCGACAGATGCACAAACAAAAGCAAGAGCAAAGGAATGGAAGGATAAACAAAAATCACCAAGACAAAGGTCTGGGCATTCTGTGAGAGGGGGATTGAGATTAGTTTAAACGAGGCACATAGTTCCACCTTAATTCTGTGTAGTTCTCACCATCTTATGGACAAGATCCCTAAACTATAAGAGAAATAGAAAGGGAGATGAGGGCCAGTCTTTACATCCATACTTTTCCTGACTTGGGACACAGCTGTATCTACTTTCCTGAAATGTTATTTATGTGTGCTCCTTAAATTTTTGAAAGAGAATCTAAGAACATGGAGGCAACTGATCTTGACAGGTATCCCCGACTTTGAAAAGGCTAGGGAAATAAAAAATGGCTGAAGACATCCCCTTGGAAAACACAGACCACGCTCACCATTCACATAGAGACTATCTTTGTCCAACGTGTAGTTGCCCAGCTGAGTGACTCCATGGGTCAGATGGCTCATCTCTGAATATATTTCTTGTATCTGCAGCCCAGGATGCACAGAATCATGTTGGTACGAGCAAATGACCATTACACTAGTGTAATTTTGATTCTTCTCAGGCCTGAAAAGAGATGTGGAAACTCTGGAGATACCCTCATGTGGCCGAGAGTCCCAGGGAAGGAAGAAACAGCAGAAGGGTCATTAGGTACAGTCATTCCTGGAAAATGACAAGGAAGTGGACTCACCTGAGAGAGGTCAGTCTGCAGCTTGCGTTGAAGGAGATATTCTGGAACAAGGGTGTTAGCTATAGAGGAAAGAAAAAAGAAAAGAGTTGTATGCAGGATGTTCAGGAACTTTGTCTTACAAGCCATTTCCGGGATGAGGGTCTCACCAAGAATTGTAGAACACTCTCAGTGGAGTTGAACTTGGCTGAGCTATAGTTCATGTCTTCTGAATAAGGAAGATTAGAGATGGTGAAATTGAGTATGACAGTCTTCAGATGATGCTCCACAGCTGTGGGAAGATAGGAAGAGAGATCCCTATAACTGAGAGGTTGAAGACACTACATTAGGTTCCTATACTCACCAAGTTATATATCCCCATATACTACCACCTGTAACTGCACAATCCAAGTCAGAGCAGAGCATCTCATCCCCGTGTCACACCAATTCCCTACTGTGAATGTTCTTCATGTGTGCTATCTCCTTTGCCATATAGATCAGTTCTTATCTTCTCATATCCAGTATATTACAATGCAAGATTCACTGTGTTTCCCAGCTAAGTGGATTTTTCTATGATGACCAGAAGGAAAGCATTTCTGAAAGGAAAAATTCATTATGACACCTTCAGTGCTCTAACCCCCTTCGGCTCCCTTTGGAGTTTCAGTGTCAAGTTCTTGTTTCTTGGTTTGACACTCAAGATTCCTTTAATGTGGTTTCTTATGATTCCTAGATTCAGTTACTTATCAGTTCTGTGCCTAACACTATGGCCTTGTGGATCCTGGAGTGGACATGGAGAGTCATCACTGAAAGCTGAGCTTCATGCTTCAAGAAAATCAAACTCCTCAGTCTCTCCATTCACTTGCTCTTGATGGCCCCTGAGTTCACACCATTGGAATCTTCCTTCACATCAACAAATAACAGTTCAGGTGGAGCTTTTTCTAGAAGGCCCCCACCCACTTGTATTGTGTCATGTGCCTCTCACTTCACAAGAATCACTCACTGTATTGTAATGGTCTATTCATCTCAGTAGCCTGGTAGCTGCAGGAGGAGCAGGCATCTAATTGAAATGCTGGTCTAATATCTGTTATTGTAATAATGATACTGGCATTGGATCTTCACACCATGGCTTTCCAGGTCTCATGTAATTCAGGACATGGAAATGTGGGACAGGGCTGTCCATCAAGTGTAGGAAAAGGCTTCCCCAAATACCTGTGGTGGATTCAGGCTGTACAGATGTCAATGTAAAAGGCAGGATGGTGGTGCTTGGCTCAGGAGCTGTAGAAAAGGCTTTATCAATAATGAACATAGCCCCCCATACAGTCAATGAAGATATTCTAGAAGTGGTTCATGCCAGAGCAATCATTCATAAGTGGACCATAAACAAGAGTGATTATGTGAGTGTAGGGGCAGCTAAGTCTCCAAATGAAATTTATTCAAGGCAATGAAAATTATGAGCAATTTATCAATGTGAAGAAAAATAAGGAAGTGATAAATTGATGATAAATGGTCCAAAATGTGTTTCAAGAGGAATAAAAATTTGAGAAATGAGAGATAAGGAGCTCAGAACAAATATACAAATGAATATGATTGTTGGATGACTGAACAGGTGAATGAACTGGTGCTTAGATGGGTAAGTGGGTGCATGGATGGATGGAGAGATTGACTTAAGGATGAAGTGGGTGAATGATTGAGTGTGGGTGAATGAATTGACATATGGGTGCACGGATGCATGAATGAATGTTTGGGTAGACTTATAGGAGAAAGAACAAAGGAGAAAATTCAAGTAAATGAACTAAAAAATAAACAGGTGGATATAAAATGAAAGTGGGAAAATACTCTTCACTAGGGAAGAGCACACCAATTGGCTATCCAATATCAAATAATTAGTCCTGAAAATATAGATACAAGCAACATCATACAGACTAAGCAGGACATATTTAGGAATATATACGTATATGTATGTATGTCTATGCAAGTAACAGTAACTAATGAAAAGAAAAAGGCCATGAATTTGAAAGAGAGAAAGGAAGTTTATGGGTGGTTCTGGAGGGAGGAAAGGGAAAAGGTAAGGGAGAAATATAATATAATGTAATATAATATAATATAATATAATATACTTTTCTCATAGATAAAAGAAGAAAATTAGAAATTACTATCTGACATGATTCTTTTTATAAGTAACAACCACTTATTCATTCATATTTCTTCCTCCAAGCTGAAGAACTAAAGCGAATTCAGAAATCTGATATCATGGCTGAAGAACAAAAGATAGGCCAGGGGCTCATTTTTCTGCTACTAGTTCCACACAGGAGACTAGTAGCAGAAATGAATATATAAAATATAAAATATATTTGGGGCTAGCTTCCTTTGTAAGAGAGGAGGAAAGCCCTGACCAAGACCAAGTTGGCAGGACTTGATACTTACCTGTAGTAAGTATATCTGAACCAGGTTCATTGTAACCTAGAAAACAGAAGTCAAGCATAAGTGCAAGGTGCAGAACGATCTCATACATCATGCTGCCATCTATGTGGGCAATGGATACATAACCTCATGAGCACTTACTATCTACTAATGTTCTAGGATCTTCCTTAAATATTGTCATGAGGAAAAACTTCCTGATACTTCACTTAGATGCAACTCTTTCCTACGAGCTCCTTAGGCGCTCCCAGAATGAATCTCTCATATGATTTATGGTCATACCTCAAAAGTCAAAGATATATTCTCATCTATGCCATTATCTACTCACTTCTTTTTTATATATATTATATAACAATATATATTGTTGATCATTTGCTATCATATGCATCTTATTCCACTTAAAGTTGAATAATATTGTGTTGAATAATATTATAGTAAATCTGTGCCTTACTATAGATTATATTCAGATGAATGAGCATGAAACTTATTCATCTCTGGTGCCAGAAACAAGGTCTGGTTTTCAGTATATTCTTGGTAAATGCTGACTTGGCAACAAATTAGACATACAAATTGTGCATTTTTAAAGCGGGAAATCATGCATAGGTCTTCAATGGACAAAGAATAAAATACAAACTCAGGACACCAAGTCTCAGACCAGCTTCAAACTTCACTTCTTAAAATTTTAAGATGGCACTGTTCATTCCTAATATCTTAATTTCTTTCTTCATTAAAAGGGAAGTATGAAGGTCTAAGATACCATCTTTCACACTTCATGTGGTATAATGGTTGATATAAATGGTCAATTTGACAATTTAGTATCACCAAGGAGACAAACTCTGAGGATGATGCTGAGGGAGTTCATAGTCATCCAGAAGTCATCCAGATGGCATACCTTAACTCTGGACAGCACTGTCTTATGGCCTGGATTCCTGGATGGATTAAAGTGAGCTAAAGACCAGCATTTATATGTATCTCCTTCTAAACATTGTCTGTGATGTAGTCTACCTTATCCCTCTATGCTTTTTGTGTGTGCTTATTTGATTGTTTGGACAGAAATGAAGAACACAGAAACAGCTGGTCTACACAGAAACCACTAGGAGCATATGGGAGGATAGAGAAAATAAAGGATGTCTGAGGATAGATAGCACACAGCAAACCAAAGACCATGCTCACCATTCACATAGAGGCTATGCTTCTCCAGTGTGTAATTTCCCAGTTGGGTGACTCCATGGCTCAGATGACTCAGTTTTGAGTACAGATCCTGAACATCCATTCCAGGGTGTGCAGGGTTGTGCTGGTAGGTGCAGGTGGTAGCCACCCCTGTGAATGTTCCATTCTTCGCAGGCCTTAAAGAGAAAGGTGTAGAGATTCAAGGGAGGTACTAATTTATAATGTAGATGGAAACCACAAGGAAGGAGAAAACAGCAGAAGATTAAAAGAAGGGATAAATATTGTCAGGCAATTATATGGAAGTAGAATAACCTGAGGGAAGTCAGTCTGCAACTTGAGTTAAAGGAGCTATTCTGGAACAAGGATCCAAGCTGTGGATGAAAAAGGCACAAAGAGAATAAATAGATGAATAAAAAATGTAGATGAAGTTAATTTTGGCACGGACTTTTCAGGACAGAGGGTCTTACCAGGTTTTGTAGGACATGCTCAGTGGAGTTGAACAAGGCTGAGCCACTGATCATGTCGGGTGAATATGGAAGGTTAGAGATGGTGAAGTTGATTGTGAAGGTTTCCAGGTGGTGCCTCATATCTGAAGGAAGATAGAGAGTAAATATCTACAACTAAGCGTTCACTATGACACAACTAGAATTCTGTTCTGACATGACAAAACACTTACATGGGTGCTGGGAATTTGAACTTTGGTGTTCATGTTTGTGGACCAAACACTGTGCCCAAGCATTCATCTACCCACCCTAAGCAGAAGCTTCTTAATTTGGTACTGAAGTTCATTCTAAGCTGTCTTTTTAATGACCTTTAGCCTTCATTAACTATCCTTTCTGTAGTAAGGCTTATTCTTCATGCAAACTCAGGTATAATCAATTCTCTGTGTGTATATGCTATTTTTGATTACTGAGTCACTGCCAATGTAATTCCCCTATAATCAACACTTTATTCCCCACTTTTCTGGCTCATCCCTATTTATACCAGGAGTATCAGTACAGGTGGGGTTTTCTCTATAAAGCCTTCTTCTCTACTGTGCTAGTTATATTTCCCTCTGAACTGCCCTCACTGTATTGAAATCATCTATTTACCTCATGAACATGGTGTTGGCGTGATAGGAGGCATCTAACTTAACTGCTTGTCTGATTTTGTGCTTGTTATAGATGAACCTGGCACTGGGTTCTTCACATCACAAGCTTCCTAGCTTTTATGTGACACGTGACAACTGTGAGAGGTGTGGGGCAAGATGTTTTCATCAAGTGAAATCAAAGGGTCCCCCAGGTACCTGTATTGGACTCTGGCTGTAGAGATGTCGACGGGGAGGGCAAGATGGTGGTGGCTGGTTCTGGAGCTGTGGGAAAGGCTGTCATCAGGCATGGACAGAGTGCCCTGATAGGGAAGCCCTTACAGCACAGATCCAAGTCAGACAAATCACCCACAAAAGTAAGGGAAAGAGCAGGCATGTGAGTGGAGAAATGAGAAAAACCTGTGAATGAAACTGGTAAGATAGGGTGGCAAGAAGAAGAGTGACTGATCAAAGAATAAGGGTGAATGTAAGTGCAGAAAATGAAAGGGACCATTGTAAAGAAAAATATACAAATAATAGATCAAAAAAAGAATACAAAAAGAATGAAAACAGCGTTTGAGGAGGTAGACGCAAAGCAGAAGGGAGAAAGTACAATAAATGAATGAGTATAGGTAGGCAACTAGGCAGATGGAGGGCGTGAATGTGTGCTGAGGAGTTAGAGGGATAAATGGACAAATAGGAAGATGGATTGGAGGGTGGTTAAGTTGTTCACAGGGTGGCTGGAAAGGCATATAGATGCATAGTGGAAGCGAGAGAGAGGAACTGAGTGTCACATCGACATTTGGACAAAAGAAGATGTGTGGTAAATGGGAGAATGGATTGACAAATGCATGGGCAGGCAGATAGATGGATTAATGAATAGATGGTTCAGGGATAGATGCATATATCTGTAAGTATATATGCATCCGTAAGTACACAGATGGATGGACAAATGGATAGAGGAAATGAAGAACAAATAACAAAGGACAGAAGGAAATGATGGATAAGTGGGTGAATGAACATTGAAAGATACAAAACCATATAGAATAAATTATAAAAGGATGGTCAGTAAAATGTGTAGATGCATGAATTGATGGATGGGTGGATGGAAATGCAGCGTCAGATAAGAAGAATGTTAGGGAAAATGAAAGAATGGATTGCTGAAAAGGTAGGTGAACAGGTTACTGATTTTTAAAAAGCAAAAGTCGCAAATCACTTAAGTAATCATCATAGTTGATAACCTGAGAATGAATTCCCTAATGGGGCCCCAGTAGCATTTGTTAATGGGAGGGATAAACCACAGTCACCATTTGACCTCTGCCTTCCCGTAACTCTTGTTCAAACTTCTTCCTTTAACCAAGAGGAGTATGAAAAGTTCAGAAATCCAATGCTAGGGACAAAGGTCCACAAGAGAGCCCTAGAACTTATCTACTAAGACCTTAGCCTCTCTTAGGTGGCTGGTTTGTTGTGAGGCATGCTTTCTTTCTAACTGAGGAGAAATACATAGGCTAAAATGCTTAGTTTTATGGATACATACTTGTAGGAGGTACATCTGGACCAGGTTCATTGTAACCTAGGAAACAAAAATTATGCATAAGTGGAAGCACCATAGTGGTTCCATACAACATGCTTTGGTACATGTGGGGCCCCATTTTGAAAAATATTTTTTGTATACTGAGAATCGAACTCATGTGCCCAGATATGACTTAAATATTACCATAAACAATTTCTTATTATTTCAATAAGATACATCTCTTCCACACTATTAAATAGCAAGAGAACAATAAGAGATTTAAGCTTCTATAATCCCACCTATGCAGTTTATCTGCAATATTGTTTTCCCTTTTAATCTACCTCTGTTATCTAGTTTTTGTTTACTGAGCACATATTCTCTGTGGTATTCTGTTTCCAAATGGAGCATATAGCAATGACCAAGTCAATCTTTGCTGCACTGCAGCTCACATTGGGACAAGGTACACATGAAAATTATTAGTTCCTGGTGGCAGGGATAAGATCTGATTTATAGTAGATTTTGGTAAACGTTGACTGGACAACAAAGTGATGCATTTAAATAGTACAATTTATGAAGGCAGAACCCAAGCAAGCTTTTCTCTGGGACAGAATTAAAGGGATGGATGTAAACCAGAATATCAAAGTGGGGGCATGTTCCTTTTATTCTCTCTGCCTCAGTTTTTCTCTTTGTTAAAATGAGAGTAATGAAGATCCACATTGTCTCCTCTTGTCCATAATTGTGTGTAACAGTTAATGTTGACTATCAGTTTTGGTGGTCTCAGGATCACCTAGGAGACAAGCTTTTGTGCATGTCTCTGAGAGAGTTTCTAGGTTGGGTTGTGGTTGAAAGATCTGTCTTAACTGTGGGCAGTTCCACATCATGGGGCATGACTAAATAGATATCAGATGACTTGCATTTATCCGTTCTCCTTCCTGACTACTGGTGCTATGTGACCAGGCACCTCACCTTCTTTGTCATGATGAGAGTGATTTCCCTAAAGTAGAAACTATGGTAAACTTTTCTTCTTTTAAGTTGATTTTCTCAGGTATTTTCCCTCAAAATAAAAAATCTAGCCACTTCTGAGGCAATGGTGATACATGAATGTATGTTTCCAAGAACTATTATAATATATGAGTGTATGTTTCCAAGAACTATTTCTAACTTGGGGAGGACAGAAAAGGACAGGTGTGGGAGTGTAGGGGAACAGAGGAGAAGGGAGGGGAAGGGAAGTTAAGAAGTTAGGGAATAACAGGAAGAAGAAGATGAGGGGTGGGAGGAAAGGAAAAGTGAAAGGGAGAGGAAGAAGATGGAAGAGAGTTGAGGAAAGGGAAGGAAGGAACTATTTAGACCAGTTTTTCTAATTTTGTGCTTTGCATTTTAAAATGCCACACAAAGCATATCTCTTAGACTCTGTCCTTTCTTGGTTTTACGCTGATATGTAGTATCTGAAGCTTAGGCTATTAGATAGACAAATGCCTGCTTTTTTTCCTGTGTAAGAAAACAGTCCAGGAGAAAAGTTAATCAAGTATCAAAGGTGAGAAGAAAGGCTGACTGTGGGAAAAGGTGTCCTCTCTATTTCTCTGTGACTGTTCTGTAAAGTAATTGGCTAGAACATTACACTGGCAATGAACAACTGGGCTCATGTCTTAGATTCAAATCTCTCAAGCTGGGACTTATAAATGAGCAGTCTTCTGGGGTGTAGGTGGGGTTTTGGTTGGGAGCCTGGATTTCAAACCTAATATCTCCTGAAAGAATTGGCAACTGGAAACCTTTGTAGCATGCAGGAGGACAGGGAGGTGGAGACTGCAAACACTCACCATTGATGTAAAGGCTGTCTTTATCCAGGGAGTAAGGACCCAGCCGGGTGATTCCACGGGTCTGCCAGCTGAGGTCATAGAAAATTGGCTTGGCAGGCAGTCCCAGACTGTTGGGAACCTGGCGGTACGTGCAAAGGACATCTACCTGGGTCTGGGCACCATTCTTCACTGACCTAAGTTGGGGAGAAAGAGGGGAGAAAGAGGAGATTTTAACCATGGCCTTTGAGTTGGCCATCCTCCTATAAATAACCCCTCAAATTCAAGCCTATAGATAATCCAGTAAACTCATTGAATTACTACGTTGGACTATGGGGTGCCATCATTTCCGTCTTGGGGGTGAAGAGCAATCTGTCTGCCTGCCAGTCTCTTTCAAATTCTGGGATTAAAGGCTTGTGTTACTGTATCCAGCCTTAAGCTTTGTTTTGTTTTAGAACAATTTAATATTTTTATGATGTTTGCATCAAAATTAGGGGCTTATATATTCTTGATAAGTGATCTATAGACAGGCCATCGCTAAGTCCACAACTGGTATATCCACAAGGTACTCTGCTACTAAGCCACACCATCACCACACTACTGAGGGATTAATCACAAGTACACTGTTGGTATAAAATAGTAAATTGACTTAAAAATCATTAAATGGCAAAACAAAAAAAAGAGAACACCTTAATCCTAAGTGCTCCCATCATCACAACTCCAAGTGTTTTCAAGTGGGATAAGAGGTTGATAGGGGAGAGGAGGGAAGCTGCTAACGGAAACTGTGTCTCACCTCAGAGTGACTACTTTACAGCCTGTGTATAGGGGGCCAAGACTGCTCCTCTGAAACAAAGGGCTGAGCTGTAGAGAAAGAAGTGAGTCAGAGTAGGTTAGAGTCTGTCTTCCACACTAGAAGGAGAATGGAAGTGCTTGAGGGCAGGAGATGACTCACCAGGTGCTGCATGAGTGTATCTGTGATATTGAACTTGGGAGAGCCTATCTGGCCCATGTCGGCAGAGTAGCGCAGGTTGTTGATGGTGAAGTTTACTGTGAACATCTCCTCACCAACTTCTCCAGCTGTGTAGGTAGAAAGAGATAATGTTAAAAGCTAAAACAGACCTGAGAGTAGGTAGATGGAGATAGAGGGCATCAATGTGCCATATAGTGGGTCCAAGGGTTACTTTTATGCCTCTCAGGGAACCCAAGGGTGACTTGCCAATGGAGACAACTGCAGATGTGAAGAGTGCCCTTGGCATGAGGAATCCTGATAGACCATTTCTACCATCCCACCTTCCATATAGGTGGATTCGGTATAAACAAAAGGTTTTTTGTTTTGTGAGGGGAAAGGCTCATATTATCTGCTCAAGAAGAATTGATGATTACTCATGACTGTTCCTCTCTTTTTCTCTCCCTCTCATCTCCTTTTCCATTTCTTTTGTAATAACCAGAACCTGGAAACAACCTAGAAGGTCCTCAACCGAAGAATGGATAAAGAAAATGTGGCGCATTTATACATTTGAGTACTACTCAGCAGTAAAAAAGAATGACATCTTGAATTTTGCAAGCAAGTGGATGGAACTAGAAAACAGTATTCTGAGTGAGGTAACCTATCCCCAAAAAGATGAATATGGTATGTACTCACTCATAAGTGAATATTAGCTCTAAACAAAAATAATTATTGAGCCTATAGTTCATGACCCGAGAGAATCTAGGTAATAAGATGAACCAGAAGAAAAACATATATAGACCGACCTGGAAAGTTGAAATAGACAAGATCGTCTGAAAAAATTGGGAGCATGGGTGTGCGTGGAGTGCGGAGGTACAAGGAAAAGAGAAGGGAAGAAGGGGAGGGATGAAGAGAACTTGAGGGAATGGGATAGTTGAGAGAGAGGAAGGACAGAGATGAGAGCAAGGAAAGAGATACCTTGATTGAGGGAGCCCTTACGGGGTTAGCAAGAAACCTGGCTCTAAAGAAATTCCCAGGAATCCACAAGGATTACCCCAACTAAGACCCTAAACAAGAGAGGAGAGGGGACCTGAACTGGCCTTGCCCTGTAGTCAGACTAACGAATATTTTAAATGTCACCATAGAACCTTCATCTCCTTCCCTCTCTTCTCCCCTTCTCACTCTATTCGCCATCTACCTTTTCTCTTCCTCTCCGTCTCTTCTTGTTCCACTCCTCCTTTCTTTTCAGTTCCACTCCACTTCCTTCTTTCTCATTTCTCTTTTCTTTCCTATTTGTCCTTTTCTCCCTCATTTATTTCTTTCTTATACTTCCTCTCTGCCTCCTTTCTTTGCACTTCTCTGTCTCTCCTCCTTCCTTCCCTCTGTTTCACCTCCTCCCTCTTTCCCCCTCTTTCTTTTCCTTGTTACCCCTCCTTCCAGACCTACTCCATCTCTCTTTCTGCTGCTTGCTTTATTCTTTTATCCTAGTATCAGTACCAGCATATAGGAGGCAGAGAGAGAGAGAGAGAGAGAGAGAGAGAGAGAGAGAGAGAGAGAGA